CCAGTTTTTAACAGTGTGATTCAGATTATTTTTAAACTATACCCATTACAATTTAATAAGAAATGTTTGAAATCCTTGTATTCACCCTGTTTTACACAAGATGATCATGAATTTTTCGATAAATTTTCTCGATGCGAGAATTTCAGAAACGGGGTATAGTAATTTGTATTTATTTTTCTCAAATACATAGTATATTGAACAATTTTTTTTCGTATTTGGCAATTTTCCATAATTTTACTCTTTTATATCTAAATCCTTTTTTGTTTGTCAAACTTTCTAAACGAATTTAAACATTTTAAGGTAAAATGTGGTCCGATGTTCACGAACGAGTAAGGCCACCACTCACGAACGTCGTTCCACAAGATAATTCGATAATTCGAATCTGTTCAGTTGGAACCACCTATCGACCAAATTATAGCGTCGAATTATACTAAATTTACTCCACATTTACATTTACTCTACACTTCACACATGTGAATTTTATGAAAGTTATAACCGTAATGAAAATACGTACATATATACCCCGGACTACAAATTATTGAAATTATGTTGTTCTATTTTGGAAATTACAGTTTTGTGAATGCTGTAAAGATGAAGAAGAGACTACAGACCTGGTTAACACAAAATGACTCTATGTCTAAAAATGTTCCATCCCAGGGACATCAACTTTTCTAAAGAATTAAGATGCACTGAATCCGAGATAAGTTTGATTTAAAAAAGTCGAGATAAGTCTGATTTAAAAAAAAAAACAGGTAGGAAAGTATAGTCGGGTATGGCCGACCATATGATACCCTACACCACTGAGTATGTTAAAAATGTGGATTATTTTTAATAATAAAACATTTAAGTTGTTTACCTTAATTCCGAAATATTTTAACAATTTGTTGTAAGAGAAGTGATTTTCTAAAGGAGGGGTTATATGGGGGCAAGTGTAAATATGGGCCTATCCTTATAGATTTTAGTATATGGCTTTATGTTTACATTAGAGTTATGTATGTTAGATTTCATCGTGATAGTACTGTCTATTAGTGAATTATTGACTTTCAAGTCATTTTCTGAAGGATACTTTGTATGGGGGCTAGGGTCAAATAAAGTCCGATAATTCCCAAAATCGGTAGTATTATTATATTATAGGCTTCGTCGTTGGGCCGAAAAGCACGTATGGTCCAAATTTCATCAAAATATCGACCTGTACCTTGCGCACAAGGTTTACATGGACAGCCAGCCAGCCAGCCGGACGGACGGACATGGATTAATCGACTCAGAAAGTGATTCTGAGTCGATCGGTATACTTTAAGGTGGGTGTAGGACCAATATTTTGTGCGTTAAAAACATCAGCACAAACGTATAATACCCTTCCCACTATGGTGCTGTAAGGTATAAAAAGAAACTCCGTTCTTTGCCAAGTTCGTGACATTATTTAGGCGAAATTATGTTGGAACTAGGAAAACAGCGTGCGAGAGGAAGGATAGAGGTAGTAGTGTTTATGGATATTTTATTTAATTATTTTCATATCGAAATTGGCGGAAATAGGAAGTTTGTTCCACATACAAACAGTACGACTGAAGTATGAATTTTCCCTGTCGTGCGGTCCACTGACCAATCACCCACAAATGTGTGTGTTCTTGATGGAAAACGTGTGTTGCGTAAAAACATCGAAATTTTAACGATGTATTTTTAGAACAGCAAAATGTAGTCTGGCGTAGCTGACCCTATACTTGATATATTAAACAAGATGTTATTCTTTATAATAAACCTTAAATTCGATATACATATTTAAGCTATTTATTGATGAAAACCTAACTTTTATGGAGGTTAGAGTCAATTATAGTGGCGATTATTATAAATGTTGTTGAAGGGATTAACATTTATATACAAAAATGTTGTCTATGCCGAATTATCGTGATACTGGTGTTAAAATTAATTTCAAAGAAGTATGTGTCAAATTCCAACTTTTATCTTGCGGCCAGACTAATGGACGGACAGACGAATGTGGTTAAATCGACTCAGAAAGTGATTCTGATTCTAAACCAATTAGTATAAGTTACACTATTAATTTTGTTTGTTACAAACATAAGCATAAAACCCTAATACCCACCTTTTTAGATTCAACTACGTAATTTAAATTGATTTTCTAAGGGGTAATTAATATATTGAATGGGGTTTAATATGTTCCCACTTTTTCTACACTTTACAGTATGATTTATGATATTTCGAACGATGAGTAATCTGGAATTTATGTCAAAGATATTCGAGAAATGCAGACTAAACTATAGACTATACTATAAACTAGTTTAGTCTAGTCTATAGTCTAGTCTATAGTCTAGTCTATAGTCTAGTCTATAGTCTAGTCTATAGTCTAGTCTATAGTCTAGTCTATAGTCTAGTCTATAGTCTAGTCTAGTAGTCTATAGTCTAGTCTATAGTCTAGTCTATAGTCTAGTCTATAGTCTAGTCTATTAGTCTAGTCTATAGTCTAGTCTATAGTCTAGTCTATAGTCTAGTCTATAGTCTAGTCTATAGTCTAGTCTATAGTCTAGTCTATAGTCTAGTCTATAGTCTAGTCTATAGTCTAAGTGCTATAGTCTAGTCTATAGTCTAGTCTATAGTCTAGTCTATAGTCTAGTCTATAGTCTAGTCTATAGTCTAGTCTATAGTCTAGTCTATAGTCTAGTCTATAGTCTAGTCTATAGTCTAGTCTATAGTCTAGTCTATAGTCTAGTCTATAGTCTAGTCTATAGTCTAGTCTATAGTCTAGTCTATAGTCTAGTCTATAGTCTAGTCTATAGTCTAGTCTATAGTCTAGTCTATAGTCTAGTCTATAGTCTAGTCTATAGTCTAGTCTATAGTCTAGTCTATAGTCTAGTCTATATCTAGTCTATAGTCTAGTCTATAGTCTAGTCTATAGTCTAGTCTATAGTCTAGTCTATAGTCTAGTCTATAGTCTAGTCTATAGTCTAGTCTATAGTCTAGTCTATAGTCTAGTCTATAGTCTAGTCTATAGTCTAGTCTATAGTCTAGTCTATAGTCTAGTCTATAGTCTAGTCTATAGTCTAGTCTATAGTCTAGTCTATAGTCTAGTCTATAGTCTAGTCTATAGTCTAGTCTATAGTCTAGTCTATAGTCTAGTCTATAGTCTAGTCTATAGTCTAGTCTATAGTCTAGTCTATAGTCTAGTCTATAGTCTAGTCTATAGTCTAGTCTATAGTCTAGTCTATAGTCTAGTCTATAGTCTAGTCTATAGTCTAGTCTATAGTCTAGTCTATAGTCTAGTCAATAGTCTAGTCTATAGTCTAGTCTATAGTCTAGTCTATAGTCTAGTCTATAGTCTAGTCTATAGTCTAGTCTATAGTCTAGTCTATAGTCTAGTCTATAGTCTAGTCTATAGTCTAGTCTATAGTCTAGTCTATAGTCTAGTCTATAGTCTAGTCTATAGTCTAGTCTATAGTCTAGTCTATAGTCTAGTCTATAGTCTAGTCTATAGTCTAGTCTATAGTCTAGTCTATAGTCTAGTCTATAGTCTAGTCTATAGTCTAGTCTATAGTCTAGTCTATAGTCTAGTCTATAGTCTAGTCTATAGTCTAGTCTATAGTCTAGTCTATAGTCTAGTCTATAGTCTAGTCTATTGTCTAGTCTATAGTCTAGTCTATAGTCCAGTCTATAATCTAGTCTATAGTCTAGTCTATAGTCTAGTCAAAAGTCTAGTCTATAGTTTAGTCTATAGTCCAGTCTATAGTCTAGTCTATGGTCTAGTGTAGTCTATAGTATAGTCTAGTCTATAGTTTAGTCTAGTCTAGTGTAGTCTATTCTAGTCTATAGTCTAGTCTATGGTCTAGTGTAGTCTATAGTCTAGTCTAGTCTAGTCTACAGTTTAGTCTAGTCTAGTGTAGGCTATTCTAGTCTAGTCTTGTCTATAGTCTAGTCTATAGTCTAGTTTATAGTCTAGTCTATAGTTTAATCTATAGTATAATCAATAGTCTAGTCTATAATCTAGTCTATAGTCAAGTCTATGAACTATTTTTTCCCTTAATTGCCATTTCAATAACCTCAGATTTGACGGGAAAATCATCAAATTGGCAACACTGCTTTCTGATTCCTTATTGGATTCAAAGGCGGTCTAAACATGTCTGCCCGTAGGGATGTCTGTTGAAAACACGATAGAGTACGAACGAAAAGTGCTTAAAGTCGTAACTTGCTAAAAATACCACTACAGTGATTGTGTGAGGATCAGTCCATAATTGACCTTACCGGCCATATAATGCCCCCTTCTAAAAATGATCATGATTTAAAAAGTAGCTATAGTGAAAAAATTCGAATTAAACAAATTTTGAAGAAATCAAAATCTATCCACCAAATTTTATGAGAATCGGTTCATAATCGGAAAAATACTCAGTAGGAATAAAATTCCTCAAAATAAATTTTTAAGAACCTAAATCACTTTACAAAATTGTATGTCGGTCCATAATTGACGCCATTAAATCCCCCTTACCAAAAAGGGATTTTTAGTAATAAATCGTTCCAATTAATGAGTATTATTATAAAGGTGGACAAAAATTATTTTTGTATAAAGGAATCTCTCTTTAAAATTCGAAAGTACTTGATCTGTAATTCATCAAAGCACTGGGTTTATAACATTAAATATAGCGTGACCGCAAAATTCGTTATGACCAACATGTTTATTATTTGTTTATCTTTTTTATTGCATTAGAACAGTTTGACAATTTATTTAAGGTTGTTATTTTTTTATTGTCTGTTCTTTATATAGTACAAAAAAAAAAAAAAAAAAAAACAAAAGTAAAAAACATTAAATAATCTTAAAAAGCTCAATGACAATTTTTTAAACAAATGGATGATGACTGAGTGGATGATAAAAGAATAAAAACAAAGACAATGAATCAAAAAGTTGCTGCAAATTTTTAGCAATTAATAAACAAATAAATGTACTACTTGATTTAATAATAATCTAATAATAAAATTGAGAGAAATTAAATTTATATTACCTTAAATTTTAGAACAAAAACACATGTAAAATCTGTTGTGGTCTATGGAAATTGAATTATTTTTACAACTTTTTTTTATAATTAAACAATATTAAACACTTGTATAAGAAAAAAATAAAACGTGTAAATATTTTATTATTTTTATTTAATTATTTCTATGGATTTCTTTAATAATTTGTATTGAAATTTTTTCTTTCATTTAAATATTTGTTATTTATTGTTATTTTTTTGCTTTTTTGTTACAATATTGTTGTATTTATTTACATTACGAGAATATTTCTATAAACAACTAACGAAAAAAATAAAACAAAAACAAATAAAAACACACGCATTAAAAATGTTGTTGTTATTTTTGTGTATTGTTGCCGTACCGTGTTGTTGTTCTTTTGTACACAAATTGCGTTTTGTTTGAAGGAGAGTGGTGAGAAGAGAAAAAATAAATCATCAACAACAATTTTTAAAATTCAAATAAACATTGCGACCGTTACAACCGACCGTTTCATGCAATCAGATTTTCACGACTAACAAGATTTAAAAGTGTTGTTTTTTGTTTTGTTGCCAGCGTTCAGGTTTATTCGAGCAACAACAATACTTGAGATTTGTTTTTGGTTTTTTATTATTCTTCTTTGCTTTTGCGATTCTAGTGTTGGTGAGTGTTTATTTAATTTGTATTAAAGTAAAATGAACATGTTTAGGGTAGTTTTGTTGCTAAGTTGGTGAGTTTAAATAATTGGAAGGGCAACATGTTGCCACTAAATGAAGATTGTAATTGTTTAAGGACTTTGTTGAAAATGTAATGTTGTATTAAATACATATAATTAAATGTTGACGCTTTATGTTTATAAGCATCGTAGTATAAAAGGTGTATAAATACATACAAATATTCATACATACTTTTTTACTATATTGATGTAATAAAACCTTTTTTAACACATTATAATAATGGTTCTGGACCCACAAAAGTACATATGTATGTAAGTATATAGTATGTAAGTGTATTCTGGTTTCTGAATAAATTCTAATATTGAAACCTTCGTCCAAGCGTCAGCTTGAAGCAACTAACTAACTAACTAACGAACTAACGAACTAACTAACTAACTACTAACTAACTAACTAACTAACTAACTAACTAACTAACTAACTAACTAACTAACTACTAACTAAACTAACTAACTAACTAACTAACTAACTAACTAACTACTAACTAACTAACTAACTAACTAACTAACTAACTAACTAACTAACTAACTACTAACTAACTAACTAACTAACTAACTAACTAACTAACTAACTAACTACTAACTAACTACTAACTAACTAACTAACTAACTAACTAACTAACTAACTAACTAACTACTAACTAACTACTAACCTAACTAACTAACTAACTAACTAACTAACTACTACTAACTAACTAACTAACTAACTACAACTAACTAACTAACGAACTAACTAACTAACTAACTAACTACTAACTAACTAACTAACTAACTACTAACTACTAACTAACTACTACTAACTAACTAACTAACTAACTAACACTAACTAACTAACTAACTACTAACTCAACTAACTAACTAACTAACTAACTAACTAACTACTAACTAACTAACTAACTACTAACTAACTAACTAACTCCTACTAACTAACTAACTAACTAACTAACTACTAACTAACTACTAACTAACTAACTACTACTACTACTAACTAACTAACTAACTACTAACTAACTAACACTAACTACTAACTAACTAACTAACTAACTACTAACTAACTACTAACTAACTAACTAACTAACTACTAACTAACTAACTACTAACTAACTACTACTACTAACTAACTAACTAACTAACTAACTAACTAACTACTAACTACTAACTAACTAACTACTACTAACTAACTAACTAACTAACTAACTAACTACTAACTAACTACTAACTAACTAACTAACTAACTAACTAACTAACTACTACTAACTAACTAACTAACTACTAACTAACTACTAACTAACTAACTACTAACTAACTAACTAACTAATAACTAACTAACTAACTAACTAACTAACTAACTAACTAACTAACTAACTAACTAACTAAACCAACTTTTGAATATCCACTTTGTAGAACAGTCGAATCATTATTTTCCAGCAAAAGATTGGTAAAGCGATAAACTTGTAGGAAAAAAAGTCGACTTTGCCAATAACAGTCTATATTAAAAAATTGTTTGAAACCTGATTTATTTTTGTTACGGACGTAGCTGCAAATAATAACAAAATCATTCAATTAACATTTTCAATCGAAAAAGATCGGAAAGTCGAAATAGTAGACCTTTCATAAACTGCAAAATATTAAGGTCTCGACTCAACAAAGAAAATTTTAACAAAATCTATCGAAATGAAAAATATTATCTTCTAGAAAAAATAATCTTTGAAATCATTTAAGAAATAAAAAATGCGGTCCTGGTGGGTTATATCCATTTTTAAAACTGAAACTTGAATACTACTTGAATATGCTCACGTAAAGTTTTATCCTGATCGCATAATTCTAATCTATTTGCACCCCACAGTGGTTTAGGAACTTTGTTTGCCTCATTGGAGGCAAGTACTTACCACAACCATTGACAATTAATTAGGAAAAGTAATCAATGTAAATAGTACATAAAAAAACATACAGCTTTTATAGCTTCAAGGAGAAGATGACTAATGAATTATGAAAAATTTATATAACACATTATTAATAAGACGTTATTAGACTACTTGTATGTAATCAGGACGATATGTAGTAATCATTGAAAATTATGTTAATAGGTAAATAGTTACAACTGAAAGTAATTACCGATTTTTGCTGGGTATTGACAATAATTCACACATTAAATCATAGTTTTCTCAGAGAATCTACAAAATTGCTGAACTGGATAAAATATGACAAGTACTAGTATAAGTAATAAAAAGGTACTAAAATCTTCATTCTTAAATCAAATTGAAAAAAATCGCTATATTATTGCATTTTTTATTCAAGCATATTCGCATTAAAATATGGCAACACTGTTCATGAAAACTACACATTAAAGTAACGTTATTTATTAAAATTATAACTGAAGTTGTTGCGCTGCGAAATGGAAGTAAAAAACTTTTTACATTTGTACGATATTTTTAAAGGACTCAATGAAAGTCCTCTAACAGAAGAGCAACTTAATCATCTGCAAGATTGGGGTCTAATTGCTAAAGCCGGCCAGTACAAGTGCCGAAATGGACACGTACTTAAGATTTGCCAATCGGAGCAACATAACGATGGATGGGCTTGGAGGTTAGTATTAAGTAGAAAACATAACCAACAAAATTATCCATATACATAAATTCTTATAGATGCTACAAAAAGGTGAATATTAAACATCAAAAAGCCAAAGTTTGTAGAGCAAATATAAGCATAAGAAAAGGAACACTTTTTGAACATTCTAAACTTTCCATTTTCCAATTGTTGGCCTTTTGCTATTTGTGGGTAGAGAACGTAGAGCTAGCGTTTATCAAAAAGAATATTGAAATATCATCAGCACCTGCTGTCCATCTTAACAAATACTGCCGAGAGATTTGTTTATTTGTTGCGGCACAAAATAACATTAACATGGACGATGAATTACAACGAAATGATTTTCGTCTTAATCCGCGTAAAGTGTATTTTCGTAGAGCTTTTGAAAAGTTTATATTCCTTAAATGGTGTAAATTAAATAATAAGAGTCCATTTATGGAGTTTATAAGATATGCTGGATTATTGCACAATCCTCTTGATGCCACTGCATATGAGGAATTTTTATCACTTCAGGCCGCAAGAGAAGAGGATAACGAATCAACTTTAAAGGAGAACGAAAGTTCATTGGCGGAGGAAGATCGTGCATTTTAAGTAGGAATTTAATCATTTTGAATTGCTTTGGATTTAATTGTGTTATTTTTAGTCTTATCTTTTTAAAATTACTTTATAATGAAGTATTAGTTTTATGTAAATAAAATAAAAATTAACTAATTTAAAATGTTTCATTGTTATTCTATACATAAAATGTAAGAAGAAGAAATGTCAAAATAGGTCATGGGGCG